ATCGCCACCATGGTCACGGAATGCCGCTGAGCTCCGAGCTCATCGTGGCCAGCCTTACCCACCGCTCCTCCTACCTCTTTCTCCCTAGTTCTATCATCACCTTAGGTCATAGATGCTCACGTCGTCATTTATTTAACCGCTACCGCCGTCGTCACGTGGGAACGTGCGACGCTGTCGTGCGCATCCGCCATGGCTGCAAGCACGCGCTTGCCGTCGCCAACTTCACCGGCCGCCCTTAGCCGCTCTGGTACCCATTACCGTGTTGCCTAGAGGTGTAGCACCTTTCCCGATGATGGAGACCTACCTTCGGCCGCCGTCTCATCGAAACAGTGACACCACCACCATGCTCTATGCACCGCCGTGCCACCATGCATGTGGCCGGAGCTCACGCCGCTTCACCGTGGCTCGATCCGCACCATAGAGCTTCGCTAGGGTTCGTAGAAGTCATAGCCGTGCTTGTTTGGTCACATCTTCGCCAGAGACGGTGAGTCCATCGCCATGTGCTGCCGCCGAGCCACCATGCTTGCCGGCGACGTCGCTCCGGTGATCCGCCGGGCCAACTAAGGGCACCTGTAGGTGTGAAATAGAATGGGGAACACGTTGGTGCCGACCTCGTCGCCGGTGACCTCACCGTCGATGAGTTTGTCAGCCGGTAAAGCCATGCCCATGCTCTATGTGTCGCTGACATGTGGGTCCCGTTGACCCATGGGTCTCAGCTGTCAGTCAATATTTGAAATATTTTTCTTGATTTTTTTCACAGATGTTGTTACAAACTTCAAAAATTCATATCTAGAGCTAAGAGTGTCTAAATGGGGTGAACCAAATTTTGTTGGATTCATCATGAAGTGTACTATTTGAGAAAAATATAAAATCTACTGTTTAAGGTATTTTTCTAGGAGAATTAAATTGAGCAAGATAAGTGCTTTTAAAATAGTTTCTAGCTTGAAATTGCATAACTTGAGCTAGGAAGGTGGTAAAATTGTGATTCCAATTTTTTTGATCTTGTGTTGACATTCACTAGCTAGGAAAATATTAAACCTACAGTAAGCATACTTGTAATATAGTCTTCCTATTTAATCTTAGTTAATTGCTAGATTCTAGTGAAATTAATTGGGCTAAAAATACATAACATATGATCATATAAATTTTTACACAGTATTCTTATGCTAGGAGTAAAGTAAGAAAAATATTAAATCTATTGCTTGACACTTTTCACCATGCTAAACTATTTTTGCTAAAATAAACATATGTAAATTGTCATTTTTGTAGAGATAGCTACACTTATTCAAATGACATGAAATTTATATAGCAGACTATTAAGGTCATATGTAGGCTACTGTAATTTTCTTGAAATTTAGTGAGCACTAAAAATATTTATCTTTTAAATCACCTTATTATCTAAGGAAATTAATAAATGGATATAAATAAATTAGTTAGGCTTAACCATGATGTTTTATGTGGTGTGTGTGATGCATATAATCTATTGATACTGTTAGTGAGGCTGAGAAGTATTTGTTTATAGGCAACTAGTTAATTATTGCTTTTATATTTTAACTAGATAACTGCATGTATAGTTTCTGTTGTGGTGACGATTCTATGATGATAATGATCCTTTCTATACAACTTGTTAATAACAAAATTGTAGATAACTTACTTATCTATCTGGTGTTAACTTTTCATAGTCATAGGTCTTAAGGTTTAAAAATTATGGCTGTTAGAAGTCTGCTGTCAGAAATGCTTGCTCTCTGGATAGATCTGAAAGATTGAATTGTTTGACCTAGATAACTACTGAATCACATTAAGATGATTAAAATAAAGTTATAGGCAATTTCATAAGATTTTCATAAAGTCCACAACCATATTATTTTGATATGTATAACTCTAGTTATGATCAAAACAAGTGGCTATTGTCTTGTAGTCCAAAAAATAATTCACATAAGTGTTGTTTAAGTTACTAGAGAAGAGATATACACCTACTCAGTAAAAGAAAATATAACTTATTATCACCTTAATGCAATGCTACTGAGAACACTTATGAGGATGCATTCATCACATTATATCATATTATATATGTCACTATATATGCATTCATGATATCTTATTTTATGCTCATGCATATAGGATCGTCCGAGGGGATAACTCTTTTGGAGTTCAACGAAGAAGAGGAGGAGGAATAGCCGAAGACACCTTAGGCTATAGCTCCAGAAGGAGAGGAGCAAACTCTTGAGGACCTCCCTGTGTGTCCAGATCATAGGCCAACCTCTTTTTTCAAAGGCAAGCCCCAAAACATTTTAGGTTTCCTCTGTTTTACAAAACTTTACTTGAGTCCTTTTATGTCTGATACATTAGGTGATAAGAGTTGAATTGAAACCACTTGATGCATAAAACTATCTTGTCTAGATATGTATATCTTTAACCCTATGTAGGTCCAGGATCAAATATATGCTTAGCCATGCTTAGACCAGTAGAAGTCGGGTGATTTCCTATCACCTACGAGATATAGATGGATACTGAAACATGGTTGGCTATATTTGCTATCGTGGAAAAGAACCATGGAGTAATGTAAATAGAGGCCGGGCGGAGTCTATGTGTATTGACTCATGTGATTCCGTCTGTGCTGATTAAGGACCGTACCATTGTTGGCACTTTTGTTGAGATTGAATGCATGCCTCTCACTTAGCATGTGATTTATTATACGGCTATGGTTACTATTATATGCTACGATAACTCGTTTCTAATCTAGAGATAAATAGTTATAATTAACTTGATGATAAATTATAAATGGTTTAAGTAGCTCAACTCAAGAGGCTCCTGATTGCCGATGTGCCTTCATCCTGGGATGTCTCGAGCCCCATTATTAGCCCTGTCGTTGTGATGAGTGCGCAACTCTAGATGGTAGTAAGGATATGTGGGGAGCCGGACATGAGTCCAATGGTAGACCAACGATACGACTGGGACGAAGAAGAGAAAGTCAAAACGAACCTGCTGATAAGCAGCAACACCCATTCAAATAAGTTGTCCCATGTGGCGATTATGTGGCATAAATTATTCTATTCTATGGACAAACCCTGTGTGTGAAATATGGACAATTTAATTGATGTAATACAAAAGTTGTAATTATTTTTAAAGGTGACCTAAGGTGACCGTCACGGGCTTTGATCGATGGTCTTTTTAAAAAAACCCTCAAACATCGAATTAACCCATGGGTTTGTGTTAGAAATAAATCAACCCCATCCAGGCCTTTTAAATGCGCGGCCTCTCGCTTGAAATCGATTGAATGCCCCACGGAACAGAAAGACAGCACGCGACCCCGCTCCACGCCGGTCACGCCTCCCTCGGGACGTCTCCTCCTCTGCCCTCTCGGAGAAACTTGGCTAGCCCCTCACAACCTGCGTAGTAAGCGTCTGATCTGTGCGCTCTGTGTGATTCAGTTCAATTATGGAATGATGGTTATGATGAACATGGGATTTATTATCCGTGGGAGTATGTTTTGCACTTTTGCTTATGGTTACTATTGTATGCTACTAAAGGATATACCACATGTTTGACACAAAGTTAGTGCTTGCTAATCTAGAGATGAATAGTTATAATTAACTTTTTGCAATGATCAAAATGTTTAGCATAAATTATAAATGGTTTAAGCCATGGAGCTATTTAAAGGAAATACATGCATCCCTGTTGTTACCTAAACTCAAGAGGCTCATCCCAACGATTGCCGATGTGCCTTCATCCTAAAGGGATGTCTCTTTGGCCCCTCCTCCTCAGCAGGCGCGCCATGCTCTTGAGAGCCTTCACATCCATATTAGCCCTTGGGAAGAGGATCCTTGTGATGACATTGCATGGCAATCCCTAAGTTTTGTCCACCCATAATCAGTTTAAGGAGTTGGTAATAGTTGGTTTTGAGGAACAGAAAGATGATTTACTTTGTTAACTTTGTTACATTCTTCTTGCACAGGTGATATATCGAATGCAACAACGTTGCAACTTGTTTCTTTGTACAAAAAAGGGCATGTTCAGGACATGGGGCGTTGGGACTGGGCCATGATGACACAACGATATGACTGGGACGAAGAAGAGAAAGTCAAATTACTAAACCGGATTGCTGATAATTTTCCTTGTGCAGCAACACCCATTCAAATAATTCTGCAGTAATCTACCGCATGTGGCGAGTTGAATAAAATGCATAAGTTATCTATGCATAAATTATTCTCCTGATTTATTCTATGTAATTTATAGATCTGTTTCAAGTAGTTCTGGAGTGATGTCTTGTGTGTGTGAGTTGCATAAGTTATGTATGCATAATTTGTGCTCCCAATTTAATTGATGTAATACAAAAGCCTCTTACTACTAAGTTGATCCACTTATTATTTTTTACTATGTATGCGAACGACAGTCCAAGAAATTTTTCCACGTCCTCATCATCATCGGCGTTCTCGCATATCTTTACATATGAATCTGCGCGCCAAACCGTCGCAGCGAAGCGGGCCTACCTCTTGCTTTCGATGGTGAAGCGGTTCTGATGCCACGTCACGGGTTTTTTCACGGCCGTTCGATCGATGGTCTTTTTGCAAAAAAAACCTCGAACTTTAGTCGAATTAACCCACAGTCCAGACCTCCTCTCAGGGGTTTTTTAAAAAAGCCCTCGAAATTTACCGAAATCAACCCTCAATCCAGCCCTTTTAAATGCGCGGCCTCCTCGCTGTAAAAAAGAAAAAAAAACGCGGCCTCCTCGCCACGCCGCCGCCTCCTCCGCACGCCCCGCCCTCTCACCAGCGCGCCACCACCTCCTCCTCCACTGCCCCACCCTGTCCTCCTGGCTGCGGCGTCCCAGCACGCGACCCCCGCTCCACGCCGGTCACGCCGGCGCAGCCCAACCTCTACTCGTCTCCCTCCTCTGCCCTCTCGTCCAAAACCCTAGCCCTCGCGCCGCCGCCGCTGCCGCCGCCACCCCCCAGTGCCCGAGCTCCTCGCCTCCCGCGAGCTCGCGCCGCAACGCCAGCATGAAGGTAAGCTACTCCTCCTCACGGTACCTGCGCTAGGTGGTGTTTGTGGGAATGTAGCGTCTGATCTGTGCGCTCTGTGTTGATTCCAGTTCAACATCGCGAACCCGACCACCGGGTGCCAGAAGAAGCTGGAAATCGATGACGACCAGAAGCTGGAAATCGATGACGACCAGAAGCTGTGAGTGTTTCACGTCCTCCATTTGCTCTGTATTTTTTCGTTTGTCTTAGATCCGTGGGAGTATGTTTTGCACTTTTGCTTCGAGCCCTGTTGTAGCTGTTGGTGAGGCGATTGAGTATTTGAGTGCTAGTACTTTTGTTCTATGTAGTTTTCCCAACTGTTCCCTTGTCTCGTTAGCAGTCTTACTGCTTAGATTCATTTAGTTAGGTTGCTTGCTGTTGCCCACTGGAGCATCTGATAGTGTATTCATATATGTTAGCCTTATTATCCGGTTATAATGTAATGGCTTTTAGGCAATAGTACTTCAAGGACATGTTTAGCATACTTTCTGAGGTATTGAATGTTTAGAAATGCGCCATTCCCATTTTGTTGGTGTTTGAATGATCATTACTGGTGAACTTTCGTTCTTAATGATTAAAATTAGGACAGTAACATCTTGATTTGCGGTTATGGATGCTTAAATTTAGTTAAAATGCGTCTATTGTTGAATTTAGGAGCAGGCAATAATCCCTTGACTGCTCTTTTTAAATTGTGCTGAGAATTGAGATTTCATATAGGGGTAGTGAGCAACTGGGCCTAATAGTTTTAATTCTTGAAATTATACTAACTAGATTCAATCATTCTGTTTTTTTGAACTGAAACAGATCATTCTGTTATATTTTATTATTTTGAAAGTGCAACTTGTTTACTATCTACCTTTTGAATTTACTGAAAAACTGTCTTAATGTATTCCCTCTGTCCCGAAAAGAATGCAAGTCTAGCATACTACCGAGTTAAACCATTTTGAATTTGACCAAGTTTATCAATATTTATGATACCAAATAAATGTCGTTAGATTTGAGATGAGATATATTTTTGTAGTATGCCTATTTTGTGATACAAATATTGGTACTCTTTTCTATAAATTTCTTTGCACTTTAGAAAGTTTGACTAGAGAGAGAGATAGAATTGCATCCTTTTCTGGACAGAGGTAGCATATCAAGTAAACAGATGTTATTCCTTCCTGCTCTGTTTTGCTTTGTTTTCTGATAAACCTTTCTATCAACTACAGGCGTGCCTTTTATGACTGAAGGATCTCCCAGGAGGTCAGTGGTGATGCTCTGGGCGAGGTAAATTTTCTGATTACTTATTTCTTGATCCATGACCCTTTTGCTGATTTCATACTTAAATATAGGTGTCATATGTTTCTTTGTTTGCAGGAGTTCAAGGGTTATGTCTTCAAGATCATGGGCGGATGTGACAAGCAAGGCTTCCCAATGAAGCAAGGAGTTCTGACTTCTGGTCGTGTTCGCCTTCTGCTCCACAGGGGTATACAGACTTCCTATCTCCATTGTACTCTCAACACCCCTCTTTTACTGTGGTTCTTACCTGAACATTCGATATGAATTCTGTAGGTACTCCCTGCTTCCGTGGTTATGGCAGGCGTAATGGTGAGCGCAGGAGGAAGTCTGTCCGTGGTTGTATTGTGAGCCAAGACCTTTCTGTTATCAACTTGGTGATTGTTAAGAAGGGTGAGAATGATCTGCCTGGTTTGACTGACACTGAGAAGCCAAGGATGAGGGGTCCCAAGAGGGCCTCCAAGATCAGGAAGCTCTTCCTAACCTCTGCCCCACCGCATTTGAGATTCACAAAAACATGGCTTCACAATGGGAGGCACTCCACACAGGAACGCGGCAACGCCGCGCTTTGTTTTCTAGTGCTAGCCTGATTACTGTCTTCGCTATTGTTCTACAGCTTATGTTTTGCATCATATGGACAATTAGACATTTTGGGCACAAATTCTAGTCAGTTCCAGTCTCTGCTATGCGAAGAAAGATATATGAAATTTAGTTTCTTTTTTCAGCAAAACATGTCTTCCATACTTCATTGTGAAGTAAGGAAGAATGCATCTGGCACTGTCGTGCCTCTGTAAAATAACTTGTTCATTGTACTATTTTAGAGTTTTAACAACAATGTTTTAATATAGTCAGTGAATTTCTATAGTTTTTATCTCAGCGCATCAACACCAAACAGCTTGAAGTATGCCTTGATAGCACCACAATAAAATTGACAAGATCCATCTGTGATGTTGGGTTAGGGTTTCTAACTTTGTATGTAGTCTTCAATTTGCAATCAGGTGCTTGTTGCCACTTGAATTTTTTTTTTTGTGTGTGGTGCAGGGTAGGGGTTTTTTTATATATATATTTTTAGGATCAGGCAGAAGAGCTGCTGACTATATTAAAAAGAAGAAAATACCCAGACTAGGCCTTACAACTGAGCAACAAGCAACAAAACCTTAAAAAGAGTGACTAAGAGTTACGGTGAGGCGGTTCAAGTTGAGATCTCAATCCAACCGGCCATTGTCTTTAGCTGTTTTAGTTGCTTTCTTTGTTGTTGTTGCATTTGCTTGACCCTTTTTGGGTTTGTTGCCACTCTTGAAAATTGAGCTGCAAAGGAATTCCTTCGTCTATATGATTTACTTTCTTAATGGCATATGTGCCATGTGTTTGCAATCTTATTATGACTGATACATTGCCTGTTTGGGAACAAATATATGACATACATTGATTATTTGAATATTGCAATCCACTTGCTTCATCATATTCTGTTATGCTCTTACTAATTAGATATTTTGTGTTGCATTAGACAATCATTCATGATGAAGTAATGTTGTCATTTATTATAGCTATTATTTTCTGGTGTTTTCCTGTTCTTGTGGATAATGTTAAGTTCACAATTTTGGCTGGTCTTCTTTTCAGTTTTGTATCATTCTTGTAGTTTCTGGTTAAGGTTCTAGCACCCAGGCCATGGTCCGCCTCTGGAATTTGGGACAATTGTAGCACATCTTGGGTAATTCATGCTACACAGTTGAGATGCCATTCCATCTATTATATCCTCATTTTAACCTTGTCCAGGTGTTTGCATTAGATCACTCTGGCTCTTTCCTTATGTTCTGAGGTTTTTACCGATATCTCCTGCAATTTGTGTGCCAAATACAATTTTATTTATTGAGTTTCCTTGCTGGTGCTATTATAGTATGTAGCTTCTCAGAGATGCCAAATAAGCATGAGATGTTATTATTGAAAAATTCATGGCTGTGTGACCTAATGGGACTGATTGAGTTCATTTTGTAATATATAGTTTTCTTGTTATCAACATATACATTTCGCATATAATGGCTGCTCTTCTTTTGTTGTAAAATAGAGTTTTCTTGCAACCCACTTGCTTATCTTATACTGGTATGTTTTTCTGAACAATATCTTTTGAGTTGCAGCAGATGCATTAGTTCATACTGAAGCAATATTCTCTTCTTTCAGGTATTTCTGGTGGATGCTTCTTAGGGCAATGCTATGGTACTCCCATTACTTATTAAGAGGTAATAGTTGAAACAAATCTGAGCCATTGATAATTCAGATTTTATGAAATAAATAAATAACCTAATAAAAAGGAAATAAAATGCCTCCAACTAATCTCGGGACAAAGGCAATCAACCCTTCATTTCTTCATGCACACTGACCCTAAAATATTGGATTGTTGTGACAATCTCCAGAGGTCCAACTCGTGAAGATTCTGCGAGCACTTTATAAGAATCAGTTGATGATCCATTTCATGTCAATGATATGATCTCTGCTACTCGTCCAATGATAATATGTTTGCTGCATCTTCTAGACATACTTACAGGTTACATTCTCAATTATAAAAACAGGGTACATGCATAAAAAAAATCAACAGCTAACATGGAGGTTCGGAACAAAAACACGTTACATTACATGTAAAAGATTTACCGCCTTCAACAGATTATAGATGCATCAATTAGATCTAGGAAAAAGATTTTTATATCTAAAACTTTCCTTATTTATCCTACTTTATTACAAAATAAAAGACTAAATAAATATATGTTTCATCTGTTACCTCCTAAGAAGTAATAGATGATACTAACCATCCGATTTAATTAAATGAACGGCTCCCCTCGCAGTCATTTGGGAGTAAATTCAGAATTGATATCATAACTGTGGCTTGCTATGTTGTAGGCTTGTAGCACATGATATTTCTCTCTTAAAATGGTAAACACTTATATGAATAATTGCTAAAATAACCTTTGTTTATGATTTTTGTTCCTTTTGCCCAGTGCATGCTTATGGTAAGACTGCATTTTAAGATAAACCATTTCCTGCCATGACAAATTCTTAGATCTGTTCCTATCAGCAAAGTGCTTCACCATATCATGAGCTTGCCGAAGAGTGTCTTTTAGAGATTTGAGCATAGTCTGTTTTTCCTTCATAGTAGCCTTGGCATCGTCAGAGACGTTTGCAGGGAGTCAAAACTCATTGACTTGTGGAGGGTGGTACTGCCTGAAATGGTGTCATCTTGATAGTGGTATGGTAAATTATGTTGTACCAGCATTCAGCCATAGCCAGCCAGGGGAACCATTTCTTGTGTTCATGTAATGTCATGCAGTGCAAGTAATTCTCAAGGCACCAGTTAACTCTTTCTACTTTGCCACCAGATTGCGGATGGTGGGCTGAACCCATCTGCAGAGATACCTTCAAGGCAGAGAACAGATAAGTCCAAGGCTGCTGGTAAATGTTCTGTAATTATCCATGAAAATTGCAGCTGGAAACCATGGACTTTGAAGATATTGTCAAACAAGGTAGCCACTATATAAGCTTGTAAATGGATGAGGATGACCAAGAACAAGATTGAAGGATTGCTAATAATAACATCCTTGAGCTGATTGCTAATAATGATGTTCTGTGCTCAGCAACTCCCATTCAATTAGTTATGGAGTAATCTCCAAAATGTGTTAGTTAAAATGCGTAAGTTATATATGCAATTATAATGGTGCTCCCAATTTGATAAATTAATTTATGCATACTAGTGCCCCCAATTTAATAAATGATATAAGCCTGTTATTAGTACTTAGTTGGTCCACTATTTTTGTGCTATGGAGCACTTGAACTTGCTGTTGCTGATCTTGTCATGCATGTGCTCTCTTGTTTATCTTCTCTCTATGCGATTTGTTTGTACATATTGCCAAGTTTGTCCCATTTTCTTATCAAGTTTAGTCAGTGATAAGATGGGGAATATATGCATGCTTTATGCGGAACTTATTGTATTGAAGGATGTATTTGACATTGAACTTTACTTGTACTGGTAACTGACTGCTGGCATTGTTTTGAAAGAATGCTTGTATATTCTCAATAGCTGGACTCTTCAGCTTAGCGATACCAAACAAGTTTGAATTATGAGTTTACAACAGCCTAATAAATCAAAGAATTGATAAGACCACCTTATATCCTGTTCAGTCTCCCAACTTGTCATTCAGTCACCAAAGTTCACAATGAACTACCTGTACATTGGGTGTAAAATACTATTTCACTTCATATGTTCAAGAATGGTTTTCTGACATTGCCATTTGGTTGACCTTTTTAGACTGACAATGCCACCAGTCCAGACGAACAAAAAAAAAGGTTCTAAGAAAACACCAATCTTGGACAGTGAACATTGCATCCTCGTTTTAGATTACATGATTTTTTGTACTCGCTTGCTTCATCTCTTTTAAAGCGGGCATAATCTTGAATAGTGTTTTTCAGCCAGAATAGTGTTTTATAATCCGTATTTTTCATCTTGTCTTTTCAGCCGGAACAATGTTTTTCTCTCACAACAAATCAGTTGGAATAGTGTTTCAGCTTATTTTTTCAGCGAAGCAAACGGGGTCAGAAGATAAGGATAGAATAATCTTGTCTGGGAAGCGCGATCGTAAGGGCATGGTAAACGCAAGAATACTGTGTTGTCCATCTCAAGCTACTGGTTTCGGAATGCAGATGTCACTTTTCTGAATGAGAATAAAAACTCTAAAAGAGCCTGCTTTTTTCAAGTTCTAAAAGAAATTATATGATACTCTAGAACCCTTGATGTGATTTGAGAGAGAGTGAGTTTGGATGCAATGGGAATGTCTTCTCATTTAATCCAGAAGAACCCTATAGATCTAGCACTTATAGCTATGTTTGGATCTTCAGAAGATCTTTCTAGCTATCCACGTACACAATTGTTCGACATTATCCCCCCTACTGTAGATAGACTGTTATGGTTACCTGTTTGTATTTTCTTTTATATTAATATACAAACCGGTTCGGCAAAAAAAAAATTTAGAACTGTTCATACAGTGTCGAGACTGTTCATTAGATCTCCGTCTGTCTTCAGAAGGTCTTTGCAATACATATGGTTTTTCTTGTATATATGTAGAAAGACCTGTTAGTTTCGTGATTGGAAATGTATTAAATAAGTAACCAAAAAATGGACGAACCAGCAAGAAATGTAGCAGTAACGTTTGCAATTTTGCTTTACGGTTCATTGGAAAACTGGGCCGCGGGCAATGTCTTTTCAGCTGGTGAAAGCAAGAGATTAGGCTGGCCCACTGGACACCGGCCCGATCCAAGACCCACCAAAGTCGCTCGTCCAAGGAAGCAGTAACATCTGGACAATCTCCCAGTCCCAGCAGGCCAGCAGGGAAGAAGAGTGACGAGCTGGGTCAATCCAGGCAGTCCACCGTGAGATCAGCGGCGGGAGATGGCCCAGCGCAGCGGCGATAGGATCCGGCTCTGGTGTGCGCGACGGGTCAGGAGCGGAGCGGAGCGGGGGGGAGAAGGCATATAAAAAAAAATGCGAAGGCCTTCTTCCTCTTCCTCCTCACCTGGCATCCAGAGAGGAAGGGGAGGGAGGAACTCG